TTTTCTGCTTTTTAAAAGCCTATTTAAATTTCCTTTGGCTTTGGGCATGTGGGTGTCTATATACACTAGTTCTTTTGAACAGTTTGCCAAACGCTCTACAGTTCTTGCAAATTATTGTTTTGCTTTGCACAAAACTAATGCAAATTTTGGATGTTATAGTATAAAGTCAGACACTTTCTTTGAAATTTAAAAAATGTACAGCTTTAGTGAGAGGAAAACTGGTTAGCTGCAGGGTTAAAGAAGTTTGTCAGACTTCCATAGCCCTGGTTGAGAGTGACTGTTGTTAACCCGATTTTAAGTGATCCCCATAAGTGGACATTACAAAACGGAACATTTTTGTAAAAAAAAAATAGGTGAATTAAAGCCAACTGGGAAATTGTTCTTTGCTTAGAAAGGAGAAAGCTCCTTATCATTTGCTGTCTCTCTTCCTACGTCTTCATGCATCAGGTTAATGTGTTTGAAATTAATCCATAGGATAGGATTATTAAAGGTTTAGCTGGCATTGTCACGATCAGATTTTATAGGCTAATTATTTGCTTTGTGCGGGTATATGTGTGCACATACATATACATATACAGTATCTTTGAACATACAAATTTCTAAGAGGACAATGATGATGATTTATTTATTTAAGGGATTTGTGTGGCCACTCACTTAGAACACAACTCTGGTCAGCTGAACCAAAAACTATTTAAAAAACGGCAATTTAAAAAAGTATGCTTCAATATTCTTCCCAGAGATGCCTCAGCAATGATCCATAGGCTCCTATCACTCTGCCCTAAGTACAGGTTGTCCTTACAACAGTTCATTTAGTGACTGTTCAAAGTTACAACGGCACTGAAAAATGGAACTTATGCCATGTTAAATTAACTAAAGCAATGGCATATAAAGAAAACTTATATAAAATGTTTTATAGACGGCATATGACACCAGTGAGATTAGCAAAAATGTTTAAAAATACTTCAAACAAGTGTTGGAAATGCAAACAAAGACCAGGTACTTACTATCATATCTGGTGGACATGCCCAAAAGCAAAAAGATTTTGGGTAAAAATACATTTATGGTTGGAGAAAATGAATAAAAAACAAACTTTAAGCCAGAATTATTTTTGTTAGGAATAAAAGGAGCAAATTATAAGAAAGATTGTATATATTTAATTCTACATGTACTAACTGCAGCAAGAATTGTATTTGCCCAACATTGGAAAAATGAAAATTTACCAACTGAAGTATTAATTAAGAAAATTTTAGAGTGTGCAGAAATGGACAGATTGACTTTAAAGATAAAAGAGAAAGAAGACTCAGTGTATTTTAGAACATGGGATAATTTCTATCAATGGCTAGAAACATGAGTTAGAGAGAAAGGACTGTGATATGTAACTTTGAATATATATTAGTAAGAAGAAGACTATCGAGTGATTAATTAACATATTGTTTATGATAATTAACTATTATTTATTATTTCTTGTTAAACACATGTTTAGCATGTTAAACACATGTTTCCTAAATACTGAGAATGTCATTTGGAAAAACCCCAACCCTAACCCCAACCCCAACCCTAATCCTAACCCAAATCCCAACCCCAATCCCAATTCCACCTCATTCCTAACCCTATAAAAACTAATAAAATTTATTCAAAAAGGGACTTATGACCCTTTTTCACAGTTTACAACCTTAGCAGCATCCCCATGATCATGTGATTGAAATTCAGATGCCGGGCAACTGGTTCATATTTCTGACTTTTGCTGTGTCTCAGGGTCTTGTGATCACCTTTTGTGACCTTCTGACAAACAAAGTCAATGGTGAAGCCAGATTCACTTAACAACTTATCAGCTGCAGTGATTCACCTAAAAACTGTGGCAAGAAAAGTTGTAAAATGGAGTAAAACTCACTTAACAGATGTCAGAAATTGTGGTCGTAAGATGAGGACTACCTGCACCTGCTTTAGGAGCCAGATATTTATGTCCTTCCAGAAGACTAGAAGGATGGGAGCCTGGTAGTAGGGGTGGCCATAGAAAAAAGCATGATTGATTAATTAGATTTGTTATGACTGGGCAATCTCCAGATATTTAACTGGCCATGTTGCCTAGGATTGATAGTACTGTAGTCCGACACCACAGGATACAAGCCCTGGCATATATAAACAATGGCTTAGTTGTCAGCGGATTTATCCAATGTTGCCATTTAAAGACCTTCATGACAGAGGCTATTCTCGTCACATTCTGGCACATGAATTGAATTAATTAATAAGTACTTTGTAAGAAAATTCACCAATTTCATCTTAGCATTACAAAAGAAGAGAAATTATCTATCCACATTCTTCATACAATCTTAACTTCTTTTTCTTCATGTATTAAATGCCTCTCTGGAAGCAAGAACATAATAATTCATCCAGGGCTTTAGACAGCTGAATGGTTTGTATTAAATAATTAGATTCATGTTTGCCTGCTCTCAACTACTATTTTCCTAATAGTTTAAAATAGAATTTGACAATTATGGGATGATTTTAAATGTAGTTTTCAAATTTTAATGTACTTTTCATCTCTTTTATATGTTGAAGGCAGCCTTGAGGTTTGCAGGAGAAATAGCTCTGCATAGATCATGGAATTATATTCTTAGATAAGGATTTGATAAAGGGGTGGACATTTTTTTTTGTTGCCAAGGGAAGGAAAAAACATTTCAGCCTCCAAGCAACAGTTTCTGAAGGGGGAGAGGTCAAAATCTGCAAGAGGATGGGAGATCAAAGTTCCATTTTTTTACATATAATTTAGAAAATGAAGGGCTTGGAACACAACTCTGCATCTACTATTTTGTGGATCTGGACACTTACACAAATAAATGGTGCTATCTCCAGGAGCAATAACAGCATAATGGTGTGGAATCATAGTGGAATCATCACTGCATCATTAGGTAGAAATGAATATTTGCATGTTTTATGTGTATGAAAATCATGCCATTGACATCTAGCAATTGTCCAGCAAATTTCAATGATGAATCTCGAGGTATTTCAAGTGGGGCCACTGGAATTAATTAATTAATTAATCTAACAACTTTCTGTTCAGCAAAAGGCAGCTTCAAATTATATGGATTTTGATAGCAATCTTCATTAGAAGTCCCTCCCCAGTGATTCCTAAAAACTTGGTAGCTAGGATAAGAAGCTCCTAGGAGTGAGCAATATGAAAAAAGATAAAAACTCCTAGGTATTAGCAACTGGACTACAAATAGAAAATGAAAATAAGAGGAATAATAATAATATATAAAGCATGACATAATAGCAACATAGATGCATTGGAATATCTGCAAGAAATACATTTGCATGCAACAAGAATTGCTGGGACCACAAAATAGACAAAGTAATAGAAAATGAAGGTGCTAAATTGCTCTGGGACATTAGAATTCAAACAGATAAGCACCTGCCACATAACATTCCAGACTTAACAATTGTCAATAAGAAAGATAAAAAAAAATCTGGGTAATGGACATTGCAGTCCTGGAGACAGCAGAAGAAAAGGAAAGAACTGAAGAGAATCACAAAATATAAAGGCCTGAAAATACATGGCAAAACAAAGCAAAGATAGTGCCCATAGTTATAGGTGCCTTGGTTGCATTCCTAAAGCATTTGGAGCACCGATTGAGCACTGCTAGCATTGAAAAAATCAACAACAGTCAATTGTAAAAGAGAGCTTTACTTGGAACAGCTTACATCTTGCAATGATACCTTTAACACCATCAAACCACAACATCTGCCTAATGCAAGTCCTTAGGAAGGACTCAGTAAGTGAATAAAAATGTCAAATCTAGAGTCATCTGGCTGACTGTACTACCAACTTTAAGAATAACAGAACAGCAGAGTTGGAAGGGGCCTTGGAGGTCTTCTAGTCCGACCCCCTGCTCAGGCAGGAAGCTCTCTACCATTTCAGACAAATGATTATCTAATCTCTTCTTAAAAACTTCCAGTGTTGGAGAGTCACAACTTCTGGAGGCAAGTTGTTCCGCTTCATAATAACAATTTATTAAACTCTGATTGTGCTTCTAAACTTGATGTTTCTGATCAGGAGTTAATAGTTACAAAGTCGTGTTTGCAGATGACACCAAATTATTTAGAATGGTTTGTAATTGAGATATGAAGGGTTTGGAGGCTAAATCTTATGAAAAACACTGAAACTGGATATGTTTAGCCTAACAAAGCAAGAACTAAGAAAAGATACAACAGCAGTTTTATTGATCTGTCTGTCTATGTATCATCTATCAAATTTCTACACTGCACATATCTTCTAAATGACTCTGGATGGTTTACAATAAAAAAAAGTTTTCAGATACTTTAAGGGCTCTCACATGGGAGTGTGGATTTATTTTTCATAGCTCTAAGGGTAGGACAAGAATCAATATAGAGAAGCTTTACAAATGTAACATGATGGCCAATGACTCCAAAAGCTGTTAAAGGGGATTGTACCAAGTTATGGAGAATAAGGCTAGGAATAAATGCACATTGCACCCAGAACCACATGTAATTTGCCTTTCAAAATGAGCTGCAGAGATTCCTGAGCACTCCTGCACTCCTGCCACACTTATGAGTTTCTTAGAGGTATCTAGATGGCTACAAGGGAAAGAAGAGGGCCTGTAACAGGGGCATAGGGTGTGGGGTGTGGGGTGTGGGTGGGGTTCAAAAAAAATCAAGACCAAGGCTGCAACCATATGAATGTTTCTCACAGCAGCAACTTTCTGAATGGATCAATCACATGTTTTCAAGATTCCAATATGCCCCAATCCAAGAAATGCTGTCTGCCATTCTTGCTGCAATTTAAGTTCATGTGCTACTTTGTGAGACATTAAAAAACAAGACATGGTTTTCTTCTTTGTGATATAAGATTCTTGGAGTGCTATAAGATCTTCCATGAGATGTCATTCCTCAAAGCTAAACATTCTTAAGTGACATTTGATTATCTAAGAAAACTATAACAAGAATGATCAAACAGATTACAATAAAGTGATATTGCTTACCTCATCTACATTCTCAAAGGCATTGATGATGTCATAAGGTAAACATGACAAGAGGTCTATCACAAACCAGGTTTTCAGGTAATTCATCCTGATGAGTTTGGGATCAGATATTACCTCTCCACCAGGTCCAACAAAGGTGGTATGAAAATTCAAAACTATATCCACCAGAAAAATAACATCTACCACACTATCCAGGACCAACCAAGCAATGTTGTTCTGCTTTGTTTTGAAGGAAACGTTGTAAGGAACCATGATGGCTGTGTAGAAGGTGAGAATTAAGATGACCCAGTCCCAAGTGGTCTTAAAAGCACAGTAGTGTAAAATTATATGTGGTGGAGTCTTTGGGGCCTCTTGCTTATATTGTGGAAGGATATCAGAACCCAGCTGGAGAACCTTCAACGAAAGATACATAGATATTAGAACAATGCACTTCAGAACAGATAAAATAAATTATAGGTGAATTAAAATGAAAAAAATCTAGACTTACTCATACCCAACTCCAGAGGTGCATGAGTATTTGGAAGAATTTTTGGAATTCTTCATTACACCCATGCAACACCACTACTCTGTGATTTACACTGGTTCACAGTAGGCTTGCCAGTACAATTCAAGGTGCCACTCATCACTTAAAAAGCTCTCCATCACCTGGGGTCAGGCTACTTGTGTGGCTGCCTTCCTCCAACTGTTTCTACTTATCCAACAGATTTAGTAGAGAGGGCATGCTCTAGGGGCCAGCTATAAAAAAATATTGTATTATTGGATCTAAGAGTTGTGCCTTCTCAGTGATAGCCCTTGCCCTGTGGAACACTATCAACCTAGAGTTTCAGATGACCCCAATTTTGAAAATCCAATTTGCTATTTCCCCAGGCATTTGGATTAGGTAGTTAGAAGCTTTTATTTTTGTATTTTTATTGTCTGTCCTTGAATGTCAGGGATTATATATGGAGAGTTATTCAATGTTTTAATTCTTGCAAGCTGCCCAGAATAACCTCTGTGAGACGGGTGGCTATATAAACCAAATGAATTAATGATAGTTCAGGACAACATGAGTATTACTATGATGTTCCTGTTCCATTCTCCCCAACCTTTCATTGTCTCCTTCCTTAAGCTCTTTGTACCACAATATCTTTTCTAGGGTGTTTACATGGTACTAGATCCCACAATCATAAAAGGTAACACTTTCCTTTTATGCGTCAATAAACACTTACTTCAGCTAACCGAGAGTGCTTATGGATCACTTCAGCTTTGTTCATGGGAGTTAGCTGCTGCAGAACACTCCGGCTGTTTGTCAAAGCTCGCGTCAAACGGGCAAACTTTGTCCAGCCTGAGGGGAAAAAATGTTTTGGGCCATGAATAACCATGACTCACCTATCATTTAGGAACAAAAAAGCATAACAGTTTTCAATGTTGACGATGTTATTCAGATGTTATTCATGCAGTTCAACACAGAATATTTAGGGCTATAATAGTCAATTACAGTTACCATTTGGTGATGATTAAAATATTTGTGAAGTGACAAAAGATATATTGTTCAAATTTGGCTCTGAACAATTTGGTATTATTGAAATGCAGAACTAGTTGAATGTGTGTATACATGAATAGTAGTTTGTGACAATATATCCAACATTTTTCTTCATTTTATATATAACATATGTAACAGTCCAAAATTATTCTCACTAAATAGGAGTTAGTATAATAAAAATAACACTTTTAAAAAAAAATCCTCAAAACTGCAGGCATAAAATATAAACATACAACTGTATCAGTGGATCAAGTTAGTTAAGCCCCATCATGTTCAGCCTTGACTGAATACAGATGCTTATCACTTTCACCTATCTCCAGCAGTAACCATTCCAAGGACATTCCATAGTCTTTTTGATCTAATCCAGCCACCTTTTCCATTGTCTTCCAAAGCATCAGAAAGCAAGACAAGAAACAATGGATGGAAACTATCCAAGGAGAGAAGCAAGCTAGAACTAAGGAGAAATTTCCTAACAGTGAAAACAATCAACCAATGGAATGGCTTGCCTCCAGAAGTTGTGGGTGCTCCTCCAGAAGTTGTGGGTGCTCCATCACTAGAGGCTTTCAAAAAGAGACTGGACAGCCATTTGTCAGAAATGGTATAGGGTCTCCTGCTCGAGCAGGGGGTTGGGCTACCTCCAAGATCCTTTCCAACTCTGTTATTCTATGTTCTATTTTTTCCAACTTTGCCAAATATGATATTTTTTTCTAGTCAATAATATGTTTTTCTAGTCAATCACATGCCCCAAAATGTGAGTTTTTCCTTGCTGATCATCAACTTTGGGGAGCAATCTGCCTTTATTTAGTTCAGCACTAATTGATTGATTCTTCCTGCAATTTGCTATCTCTGCATCCATAATTCACTATCATCTATCTTTTTTCTCTTGATTTTTGTTAGTGTCCAGCTCCCACTGCTGTACATTACTTCTGGAAAGTCCACTATCTTTACAATTCTGATCTAATCCATCATTATCTTATATAATTTGTCATTGACTATTATGTAGGATCATCTCATCTCTGCTTCTCCACTTTTATGTATTCTAGAGCTCAAGAATATAAAACTCTCTGCCCTCTTCACTTCTTCAGCTTTGACTGTAAGTGCAGGAACCATGCAAGTTGATTGTCTTCTTAATAATTAACACAAATCTTCCCATGTTTGTGTTCATAATGAACTCTTTTAAGTCCTCTTTACTTTTGCTAACAAAAAGGTCTCCTTACATCTCAAATGTTCATGTTTCACCCCCCACCCCCAGTTTTGGTTTCATCTGCTATCTCTCCTAATCCTGCAATTTTTATTCACTGTATATTATCATTGTTGAAATGAAAGCAAATACTCCTAATCTTCTAGTATTTGCACCAGAGTTGAGTAGAGGGGAAGCTCTAAAGAGGTTTCCTCAAAGCATGTTTCTATAACATTAAATAGTGGTTCATCAATCCATCCCAATCAGACTTCTTTCTATACAGACATTTTTCTTGACTGAACTCTAGAATTCATAGAATTTGGGGTATTATTTACAAAGTGTTAAGTCCAAATAGTGGTATACCAAGGACACTTTTCACTGATTTTTAAAAAAAGCCAAATAGGGTCATTGGGCAGTGTTTAGACGATAGATCATCAGGAAATATCCAGGCTATAGCATATACTGGGAAGATTGGGGGGGGAATACTCTCTGGAAGAAGACAATAGCAAATTATTTCTGTATTGTTGTAAAGAAAACATTGTTAAAGTGCCATGAAAATATCTGGTGTCAAGAGTAATTCAAATGTAACTTTAATTTTACAAGGCTTTAGAAAGTTGTCCCAGGTATTAGAGGAGGCAACAATACTTTGGTACCTACATACAAAAGGCTGAGATGAACACAGGCCTAAATACTTAAATATTTAAGTAATACAATAATATTCTCCATCATCAAGTATTAGCTGGACTTGGAAGACAAAATAAAGGTTAAAACAATTGGTTTCTTTTAAATTATATCATGTGTTGTTATTGGGAGAACATCAAAAGAGTGTTAAGCACTAAGATTTACTTTTCAGATAGAGGATCTTAAAGTTGGAAAAGTGTCCTAGCTCAATAACAGTGCAAAATTAGCTTCTGGGACAATATAAGCCATTCAGTGGGTGATTTCTATCTACCTGTCTGTCGGTCCGTCCATCCATCCAAAGTATACAAAACCCATCTATCCAAGAAATTTTAGGTGGTGTACAAGATAAAAACAAAGAATTCCATTACACTAAAATAAAAACAAATAAAATCATACTGTGACTCAATAAAGCCACAAAACTACCAATCATGTACACCCATACCAGAGCCCCATGGTAACTTCCCAACCTCAACACCTGGGGGAACAGCCAGGTCTTCACAGCTTTGCAAAAGGCCAATGAGGCCAGTAAAGTAAGGTTGTCTATCATTCAGGAGGCAGGCTGTCCTATAAGGCAGGTACTGTGAAAGAGAAGGCATGATTCCAAGGATCGGCGGCAAAATGTCACTATTTTATTGATGGTGCTTGGAGCATGCACATTTTGCCAGATCTGGTGAGTAGATAGAAATTACTGGGGAAAGGAGGCCATGCCACATAGGGTTTTAAACACCTTGAATTGCACCCAGAAACTTAATGGAAGCCTATCCAGTTCACATAACAGCAGTGCTACGTGGGGGTACAGTGGTGTATCCAAAACTGTGGATGCCGCTGCATTCTAGATGTGCTAAAGCTTCTGAATGCTCTTCAAGGTCAGCCCCAAGTAGAACACATAACAGTAGATTTGATGTAAAATACAGTTATAAGATCTTCATGTAGAAATACCTCCTTTTCTCAAATCAGCCTTGCATTTCAGGAACAAGAAGATAACCCGTAATTCTAGCACAATACTGTATGCTGTCTATGACTCCTCCATTTGTCTGAATTATCTCGGCTTAGTCAGCTATTTTGAATTTTTGATGACAGATGGTCGGTTGGTCAGACAAGATTTATTCCCAGAAGTTTAGATCATTAATCTGGGTAGTGATCAGATTAAAGCTTTTAACATTTTACTTTGTGCTGTTTGTATATGGAATGACAGAATAGGCCTTCATATTGCCCCTTTTCTTTAATCTTTCAGTGCTTAGGCAATGTTTCTGTTTAAGTTGACATATTGAAGAAAACAATTCCTATTATGTATCTGCATGAAAAATGCTGCACTAAGTCTGCAGCTATCAATGTAGCAATGCTTCTAATAGATCTCAACATCCATTTTCAACATGAAAAGTATCCACTTGGTATTGAAGATAAGTAACAACAGTGTTTGCAAGCATTACTGCCAAATTTTTATTAGACAAAGATGAAACCAGCAGATGAATTATATAACTGATGTGTAATTAAACCAAGTACATATAATAATAGGCAGGTAAAGCATAATAGATAATACTGTAGTGCACTGAATAGAGCTGTATATCCTGCATATCTTTTTCCTCCCATATCTGTGTGCATTGTATTTTGGATGAGCTTATATACTGAACCTATATGTCATGTCTGATTTTAGCTTTGTGCAATGCATGAACCTAATCACTGTGGTTTTAAACCATTCTTTATAGCTTAATGGAAAATGAAATTTCAGCTGGTGTCAGCATGTTGACTCATATTGACTTGTGGAATAAAAAGTAGAATTTTTGGACATGACCCACTAAAATAATCATGATGATTATTAGTGAAAAATGGGACATGGAGAAACAAGTGAGAGACATCAGCACACTCAGGGAAACCCTAAAGTTTTCAATAAAGGTGTATGTGTGAAAGTGCCTGAGTAAGCAAATGAGTCGGTGAATAAAGGAGTGAGAGAATATACTGTATCTCTATATTTATCTCCAAGCCTCAACGAGAATGGAGAAAGTCTAAGTATACTGACACTGAGAAGTATGTTGAGAGAAATGACATGGCATGCTAGCAAACATTTATGTTTAAGTTTTTTTTAAATCCTGCCTCTATTATTTTTATAAATAACTCAAAGTGGCAAACATACCTAATACTTTTTCCTTCTCCTATTTTCTCCACAACAACAACAACCCTGTGAGGTGTGTTGGGCTGAGAGAGAGTGACTGGCTCAAGGTCTCATGACTAAGACAGGACTATAATTCACAGCCTCCTAGTTTCTAGCCCGGTGCTTAAACTACTAGACCAAATACAGTTGGCTGGACAGATCCTGCAGAATCGTCTTATTGAGAGATGAAAATATGCTACAACATTTTATTGCAGGTCCACCTTGTTCCTTATGGAGATTAAATGGAAGATTGTTGCAGAAAGAAATAGAAATGAAAGATTGCAAAAAGAACTTGAAATAATTTTTGAGAATAATCTTAATACAGACATAGATATAAGAATGGTTTAGGATGCAAGTAAAGCTTTTATAAGCAGACATTTTATACAGCATAATAGCAAGCTCAAAAAAAAAGAAAGAGAAAACACAAGCAATGTTAGATGAAATAAAAATGAAAGAAGAAAAGTATTTAATAAAAAAGTAGGTAATGGTTAACAATTTAAGTTGTTAGAACAAGAGTATGGTGAATATAAGATGAAATCAAGAGAACAATTGGCTGCAGAGGGATTTAATTTTCATTGGTTTTGTATAATGGAAATAATAGAAAGATTCAAGGCAGATAACAGGACATTTGGAATTGAACAACAAAGGACAGAATTTTGAAGACAAATTATGTGCAAATGATAAACATGCAATTGCCAAAACTTATAAATCCTTGCTGAAATGTAAAATGGAGGATGAACAAGTGAAAGAATGTATGATAAAATAGGCTAAGAATTTTGACATAACGTATTG